ATGTACTAACAACTTTGAAGGTGATACAGTCCGTCCCAAACTTTTGCAGATGGGTGATGGTACTGTACGCATTCTCCACAGTGTCAGTTTCGCTGAATGGGCATATCTCGGCCCCCTTCTCCCTTACGAGATCCCTGAGATAGGGTTGCCCGTTGGCCCCCCTGTTATTCATCACACAACTAGAAGTTCGGATATCAAGTATCAGATCTCATCCTGGTATTAAAGGACTACCAGTGCAACACTTGGACTGCAAGATGAAAGCCCTGGCGGACGACTTGATGATGGCAATCTCGAAAAATACTCAGAGCTCACTGATGGCGTTCAATTCATGCTCAACAAATTATGCAACCCTATAGGAAGTTACAGTGAACTGGACGAAGTCCATTTATCTTCTGCCTGAAGAGTACAATCTTGTGGTGGAATGGGGGATGAAGCGTATTGTCAGTGGGTGTTCGGAAAGATATTTGGGGGTACAAGTTACGTTGGGTCAGTGTGCGAACACTCAGAATGACCTGCTACAGCAGAAGGTTATCCAAAGATTTGCCATCAGGGGCCCCGCCAAACACTTGTCCCTGTTTGGTCGAGCTCCGGTAATTAACGTGGAATTGTACGCCTTGTTGTGGTTTGTAGGCACAATCAGAGCACTAGGGAAGCAACCGGTGAAAACAATATGGCGCGCAACAGCTAGATTTTTGTGGAAACCATTCGCCAAAACTGACGCAGGTTTTATATCAAAAGTAGCCTGGGAGTTAATCTGTTGCCCCAGGGAAGAAGGCGGTTTGGGGTTGTTGGACCCAACTAGGCAGAACGCTGTATTGTTAGTTAAATGGATAATTAAGGCAGTGTCCAACCAATCAGAGGATCATTGGATCCTGTTGGCTGAACGGATCCTTGCTCAAGACTGGAACCTGCCACGAGTCACAAATGTTTGGACTTATTGTATGTTGGACTCATACCTCCGCAGAAAGACTTCGTCACCCTTTTGACAGGACGTCCTAAGCGCCTGGAAAAATATCAGACCCCGCTCGTAGGTGCCGCCCACATCTAGAGACGAAGTACTCTCCCAACCTCTATTCGATAATCCTCATATTCGGGGAGAAGATGGTAGCTCCTTCTCAGCAGGAAGCGACCCGATCGCCTTTGGGAGGCAATTGGTGGAGAAAGGTATCCTTAGGGTGGCAGATGGGATGAACTAACAGGCCAATGGATATCGCTGCAAGATTTGAAACAAAAATTGGGAAAATTGGGACAAGTGGAAGCTAGAGCGCCTCGTTGAGGGCCGCTATCCCCCCGCAGTGGGAACATCTGTTGAGTCCGGCAGGGGTGCCCCCTCCGGGGACATGGTTTATCACTCAGTTATCTGTGACACAGGAAGATCAAACAAATGTATTATGGAAACTCCTCTCGACAGACTCGGAAGAAACCAGAATGTTTCAACGTTGGAGCAAAATCCCAGGGTCATAGATCTTGTTGTGCGAGGAGGAGGGTTCCCCCTCAACCTCAAACAGACCACTGGGTAATCTACTTCAATTCAAAATTCGGGAGATCTGCAACGAGGATGGTGAATGGACATGTAAACTTTGGGCAAACGGGGTCCCAATCCACAATCTGAGGTTAGATTCCGAAATGTGGTCCTGGCCTGGATCTAAGAGGTTCCCCAAGGAAGCCTGACTTACAGACTTTACAACAGCAGGAGGTTACGATCTCCAGCTTCCGGCGAGAACCCCTCTCTTGGTGGCTATAAGCAAGTGGACACAGGTTGACATTTCGGAGGATGCACAGATCAGCAGAGTCATCACAAGATGTTGGACGCAACTGAAGATACTTCCTCTGACCATAGCCACGACCCTGTTTCGGCTACTATCAATGCTTGCGACCCGCTCGGCAGTGTGGCTGGTCGGAAGGGGAATGGAAATCGAGATTCAATGCACAAGGTGCCGCTGGCCATTTGAGTCTAAGGTGCACCTGTGGCTTTCGTGTCGGCTGTCTCAAAGAATTTGGAACTGGTGGATATCCCACTGGGACCGTATCAGTGGCCTGGTGTTTCCCTGGGACGACCACTGGATCCTGTTAGGTGGTGCCCCAGATGGCTTAGCCCTGGACAAAGGATGGGGCTATGTAGGCCAGGCTCTCAGGGTATGCTTGTTTCTGGTTATCTGGGAGGTCAGGAACAAGAATGTGTTCGCAGCCCGTCAGGGTTGCGTTTTCCCCCCTGGGAACATTGCGTTTTTTATGCCCTGGGAACATTTTTCGTCGTCGTCACCAGAAGGTGCGGTAGTTGGAAGGGCGGTGTATTTGCTGGGGGTTCAATTCGTGGGAAATAGGCAGCTCAAGGATGTGCAGGACCGGTAGCTGCCCGTGGCATTAGGGCCTTGAAATTTCGAATCTGAAACGGCGTGGACGCAGGCCCTGTGGCGAGTTAGGGCGGGTTTTTAGGGGGGGCGCCGACTGGAAGGCGCAGGCAGGTCCAATCTTACAATTTTTTAGCGTCAACTTTGGCGATTTTTCGTACGCAGAATAATTGGAGAAAAGATCTGAAAATTTGATATGGGGTAGGCCAGTTCGTGATCTTTCCAGAAAAAATATCAACAAAATAAAATAAAATTGTTTAGACCATTAAATAAATGCCGCGCCAATTCGTCACTTTTTCCATTTTTGGCACATGAGGGCCAACGGGAAAAGTACCCCTATTTCAAAGATTTTTCACGCTCAGAAGAACTCGTAAACAAGTCTGAAAATTTGAGGGTCCGTAGATTTGGTCATGATCGTTTCAGGAAAAATATCTTAAAACATTAAAAAATTTGTCTCAACCGTGAAATAGCTTATAGCGCAAATTCATCTCATTTTCCATATTCACCACTCTGCCGGTTCTCCACTCTGTGCTACTGGTAGCCCTCATGGACCTGTGCTACCGATCCCCCAAATTTCTAACGTCGGGTAGAGTGGTGGTTTAAATTCGAAGCCTGTCGTGGTCGAAATTGAAACAGGCCAAAAGCAGCGGCGACCGCTCCCGATCCCTCTGCTTTCACAAAGTGATAGTCTCCCTGTGTGCTCGGGGAGCGTGGTGCCTTATCGGTCGAGGCGTTTTGACAAAGTGGTGTCACGCCTGATTTCTCTCTCTCTCTCTCTCTCTCTCACACACACACACACACACACACACACACACACACACACACACACACACACACACAACAACAACAACAACAACATCAAGAAACAAACTACGGGCTGCGCACCCGTGCCCTCATGGTAAGTCAATTTGAAGGTCGATTCCTGTCTGATAAATAGATCAAGCCCCTGGTGAAGCTTCATATCTGTCGGAGCATAAAGTGTGACTGGGGGAGGAAAACCTCCTATCCGAGACAAAGGACGGCAGACCTCCTTTGGTTTACGAAAACCTGGCTTCTGAGGGGGCAGCTAGCGAAGACCCAGCACGGTAAACTATCTCTGGATGAGTGGTTACCTGGGCGCTCGGTTGTAGGCAGCAGTTTCTGGGAAGTGGGGCAGGAGTGAGCGTCATCAATAGCATTTGGAGCATAGCTCCGCTGCCCCGAGTTTACGGGTGGACAGCCACTTCGCTCAGACAACCGTGTTCGCAGCCCGTCAGGGTTGCGTTTTATGCCCCTGAGACATTTTCGTCGTCGTTCGTTATACCGGTCGTTCATTCGGGCCCATTGGTCGTTCAAAGGCTGGTAAAATGAAAGGCACTGGCAAAGAGCGGGGGGGGGCGCAGTTCAAGCAAATGCAGGACCGGTATTTGCCCGTGGCATTTTCCTGGGAGCCGGTAGGTGGCCATGGTCTAAAATTTTGAAACTGCGTGGGGGCCGCAGGTCCTTGAAATTCAAATATGGACCAGGCCTACAGCCTCATGCCCAGCCCACCCACTCCTGCCCAATGGGCCTAGTGATTTTGTCTGAATCTGGAAGCAGTTCTGAGCCAGATTCAGAAACAGAGATGTTCTCTCTCTCTCTCTCTCTCTCTCTCTCTCTCTCTCTCTCACACACACACACACACACACACACAAACACACACACACACACAGAGGGCCTCACCACAGCCAAAACGAAACAAACTACGGGCTGCGCACCCGTGCCCTCAGGGTAATTCGATAGGTCTGAGCACTATGGACACAAAAAGTTGATTGAACTGTTGGAAGTCATGGGGCTAGGTAGGCCCCGCAGGGTGTGGTCCCACCCTGTAAGCGAAACTGGGTGATGCTCCCAACTTTTCCTGGTAGACTGTGAATATAAGCCTTGGGCACTGGGCCCGTGTCGTTTAAGAAAAAAGAAGGGAAAATTTTCAAAATACCCCCAGAAGTTGAGATCGACGCCATAATGCCCCTGAAGCATGTGGGTAGAGCGGAATGCCCTTTTGGGCCAAAATCTTTGTGTTGCGCCCCTGTCAGGCGGGTGTGCAACTTTGCAATCTGGACCTCCCCGTTTGGGACTTGGCCTTTTGCAATAGCGCCGAGGAGAAGTCGGCAAGTACAGGGCATTTGGCAAAGTTGGACGGTACCCGGTAGGGGTATACTGCAAAGATGGGGGTCCGACCGACGACAAGGGTATTTCACAAAATATTGTTTTTGTCAGAGGGGCATTCCGCTCTACCCACTTCTTTTAGGGGCATTTTGGCGTACATGTCAACTTCTGGGGGTATTTTGCAATGTATACCAAAAACAAAACAAAAAAAAAACGACATACGCCCGCTGTCGGGCTGTTCCCCTTGCGAGATAATCCCCTCTATCTACGCTCACCTCCTTGCCCCTGGCCGGCCGCCCTCACGCCATTCACTGGCGCGCTTGTAAGAGTTCGTTAGGGGGAAAAAAAGAAACCAAGAAAGAAAAAACTCGGAAAGAAAAAACAAGAGAGAGAGAGAGAGAGAGAGAGAGAGAGAGAGAGAGAGAGGTCAGGGGGACCCAGAGAGAGAGAGAGAGAGGTCAGGGGGACCCTTTGGGAGCGCTCTGATCATGGCGAAGGAGGACGCAAAGGGTTTGCAGGCGAGGCGGAAGGGTTGCGATCTGAAAGAGAGAGAAGTTGGACTGACATGACAGTCGACTGCGAGATGATGAAAGAGATGAAGAAGACAAAGATGGCATCAAATTACTAGTTGGTGCGTGCAAGTCGTAGAGAGGGAGGGCGGGAGTGAGGGAGGGAGGAGGGGGGGGGAAAGGAGGGGCCGGTAGAAGAACGAGTGAAAGGCGTAGGGGTTGTGTGGAAGCTTTGTTTAGAGACGGCGATCATGGCGGTGGCCATGGATTTGCAAGCGAGGAGGAGCCTGTGCAGTTTGATTGAGAAGGTGACATTAACCACTGATATGACGTTGGACAGCGAGACGATGAAGGCAATCAAAGCAATCGTGCGAACGTCTGACGATAACGTACGGAGCGCATTTGAAATTCTCCAAGATCGACTAAAAAAAAAGCATTCGCAGGTAATACGACCAATAAAGGAAGGCATTCCACGATTGGTTAGTTCGCCCTCTTTTTAAAACCATCCGCTGCTCTCACTCTCTCTCTCCCCCCCTCCTCCCTCCCTCCCCTTCTTCCCTCTCTCTCTCTCTCTCTCTCTCTCTCTCTCTCTCTCTCTCTCTCTCTCTCTCTCCCCACGATTGGTTAGCTGGTCCTCCTTTTGAAGCTATCCTCTCTCTCTCTCTCTCTGTGTTTATCTATCTAAGTATCTATCTATCTATCTTCTTTTGAGAAGCTAATCATTATTCGTGGAAACGGTATTTATAGCAAAGAAGTATCGGCGAAGAAGGACGTAGCAAGGTGTGACGAGTAGGCAATAGTCGAACGGCATGGTGCCACTACCATCGTCAGCCGAACAGAACGCGCGGTCATTATAGCCGTATTTGGTGCAACTTTCAGACCAGATGCAGTTATAATGACCGGGCGTTCTATTCGGGTGAAGACGGTAGGTCCTTTTTTCTTTTTTTCTTTTTTTAAACCTGCCCTTGAGGGGATCGCTGCGCCGCGCTCTGCAGCAGTGTCATGCATAGGAGAATCTTTCGTTGGGACAGGAAGGGCGGACACAGTTGATTACTCCATCAATAGATGGTAGGTCAATCAGTTAAGGGACCAGATCGATCAGTATCTGGATGTGAAGACGGTTTCATTCACTCATCCCTTGGTTGATATCTATCGATCCACCTATCCGGTCATTCGTCGGTTGGTAGATGAACCAATTAAGCCGTCGATTTACCCGTAAGTTAATCAAATCCCTAATCAATCGATCTCTTCGACAACCAGTCCATCAAGAAATAGTTCAATCAATCGCTCGGCCAATCCGTGACTGTGACTACCTTGATCGATCAGGACATCCATCCGCCAATCTCCCCTTCCATCCGTCCATCCACGCATCAACGATCGTCCGATGAATGAATCAATTGAATCAACAACACATAATCAATCCACAGTCACGCATCACCGGTCAACCTACTGATTGCAATCAATCACTCAATCAATCAACCAATCGATCAACCTATCCATCCATCCATCAATCAATCAATTGATTAATCAAGCAATCCATCAATCCATCAATCCATCAATCAATCAATCAATCAATCAATCAATCAATCAATCAATCAATTGATTAATCAAGCAATCCATCAATCATCAACCAATCCATCTATCCACCCATCCATCCATCCATGCACCAATTGATGAATCGATCAATTAGTTGATCTATCCATCCATCAGTTGATTAGTTCATCAATCAACCAACCAATCAATCAGTCAATCAATCTATCTATCAATCAATCGATTACCGGGCCGATCGCTGGAAAGCCGGAGGCCGGGCGTCCCTGAATGAATGCGACCAACGGAATATAATGAGAGTTATGAATGCGTTGATTGTCAATCAAACTATAGAGTTTTCAGTACTAAGCACCAACCACGTGATCGAGGCAACGAGTAGTGTATAGCATCAATCGCGGCCGTCCGTCCGTTCTCAGTGGCGCTCGAAATGCGATACTTAGTTGGTGTTCACGGAAGTACATTCCCTGAACATGCCCGCAATCGAGGTGAGATACATGCCGGGAGTCTTTAGTTGGTGCTGTCACGGAGTCAGCTGTAAAGTGGTTAGTAAGTCCCCCCATCCCCCCATGCTCTCACCCCCCAAGTCCGTCCAGGCAAATCAGGCCCGAAATGCACGGTGGAGCCTTGCATCGACCCCTGCTTTGCCTGGATGGATGATGGATGTTGGGCGAAACGGACGGGTGCCAAATGGTGGCGGGCGGGCAAAATGGCACCCCGGTATATCCCGCCTGATTGCCACAGCATGCAAGCTGCTTTTCGGCAAAATGGCTGCGAAACGTACTGGTGGTTTAACACAGTATTACAGTAATAATAAAAAAGCAACTTGAGTTGGGCCTCTGTCGTGAGGCTCCAGTCTGCCGTTGAGCAGTGAGAATGTGTTTATCAAAGGAAAGGAGACCTGGTGGGCAGCTTGATGAAACAGTGACATGGAGGACACACATCATGGCTCTTCCAGCCATGTGGTGGGTTCTGTCTAGAACAGGTGTGGCCTGTATGGGGTATCTGGTTCTCGTTAGCTGCTAAAACCGTGTGATGGTCCGGGAAGGCTGCTTTTGGGGGTACTGGTGGTTTAATGACAAGCGCCCGCGGCCAATGTGTGGGCCTAAAAAGTACTGTTGGTTTAATACTAAGTAATAAGGCAACTTGAGTTTGAACGGGCCTAAAAAGTACTGTTGGTTTATACTAAGTAATAAGGCAACTTGAGTTGGAGAGCCGTGTGATGGGCGACCATCTCGCACAGTTCAGAGAGCCCCTGTTACGACCGTATAGGCTTGACTCTAGCGGTGGAATTCTTGACTCTATTCATTCATGCTTTAAGGAAATTATGTACCTGGAAAAAATGGGCAGGGAAATCCTGGCCTTGGGGGTACCATGCTGCGGTTAGCCCACCGGGCTGATAGCCGTAGCTGCCGTTAGCTAACCAGATCGGCGTCAACACATATTGCCTAGCTGGTGCTGATTCCAGGGAGCCCTTTCACTGCGTGGGTTGGCAGCATGTGTGGCCGACCGGTAGCTGGTAGCTGGTTCCCATTAGCTGCCATTAGCAAGCCGCTTGCAACCCCCCCCGTCTGCTGGGGGGACCTGTGGACTAGCCCACTAATTCACCTCTATGCCTCTGGCAGACTGGTGGGCAAGATGGGTTGTCTAACTAAGCAGGTGGCCAGTGTGAGGTGAGCTAGGTGTGAGCGACTGGATGCTAGCAAACCGAAAATAGAAAATGAGATCTTATCTGAAGGTGCAGAACATGATCTGCTACATCATTCTAATTTCCAATGGAGTGAATGGTGTCAAAAGAAGATGTGTCACATCACAAGAACAGCTCAGGGCACTCTCCGATCTCTAGACATTCTGAAAATATGGCTCTGGCCACCTCAGGAAGTCGCTCCCCCTATCAGCTACTATTAATGAAGCCTCGTTCTACTCTCAGCACCTCGCCAATGCCGCTGTCTTTGACACCGGCTTTGTGAACCAAGCCAGCGCTATGAAAATCGACACTGGACATGACAATTCCGGCCTTCAGAAGCAAAGCACTGTCTTCCTTCAATGACAGTCACCACCACGTAACATTTCTCTCTCTCTCTCTCTCGCGCGCGTGCGCGTACCACAGGCTGTGGCCTCTCCCTCAAGCAGCTCTCTCTCTTTCTCTCACTGTTCTAAGATATTGTGCATGCCCACCTCCTACTGCTAGGTACTCTGTCTTTCCAGTCTGCCTTCTTGTCCAGGGCTAGTGCCCGGCAGCATGCACCACCAAGCACAACGCAGAATGAATGACCGACATGTGGGCAGGTCGACCAGCCTGGGCTACTTCCTTCTCTGGCGCACCAAGGGCTGAGATTTTTCTATCTGGGTGGTGGGTACTGGCCACTTTCTGACGTTGCCTTGACCCGGTAAGCCCTGTACGCTTCTGGAACCACATCCTGAGTCTTTAGATTGTGTGCAATCTGTGTCCGTGGTTGACTTCTGGAGCAATCTTTGAGTCTTGGACAGCTGGAGCTGGTAGAGCCCCTGAGTGGTGACTTTCCCGGCTTAGATTTCCCTAGGCCCTGGGGACTCACTCTGATGGATGCTGGATCCCCTAGGCTACTAACCCAAGGACCTTTGTTTGCACCCCTAGGGCCGTACAGCCTGACTTTTGACCCCAGAACTTTGACTTAGCCAGAAAGTCAAATTTCTGGGGTCAAAAGTCAGGCTGTACGGCCCAAAGGCTATTACAATGGTGGGGTCTTTACTGCAGTTCTTTACAAGTGGTTAATTGTTTAATTGACTTTTTAATTGACTCTTTATTGTTGCTGAGTTCATAGCCATGGGAATTCTACGGTGTCTGCCACATTTCAAAAATTAGCTTGGTTTTCCTTCCCCTCTCAGCTCCCTCTCCTGCCTGGTGTGATCAGTCTTTTTTTAACTAAAGCTAGAAGGATCGTGGCTAATAGGCCATAAAGGGCTTGCTGTTTTAAACCAGCTATTGTACCATGATGAGCCCAAGTTGCAGAAACTTCAGAATGCTTGACTCGATTGGGATTAGTGATCTTTGTACTGCTTCTGGGTTGGGACTTCAATACCTTTGGTGTTCTTAATGGACCATGTGAAGGAGTATCCAAAGGCAGGATGTGTTCTGCGTAGACCATAAATGTCAATCCAGATCCAATGCAAGACATGTTCCACGCGCGCACCGTCAGGCATAATCGAAAGGCAAGATGTGTTCCACGTGGACCATAAAGGATTACCCAAAAAGTAAAAAGACTGTGTGACAGAGACCTGTGGTTATAAAGAGCTGAGTTGACTTAAAATTTTGATAGACTAAAGGGCGATTGACAATGGGAAGATGGGAAAGGTAGGAACCTGTTGAGCGGTGCCAACGGGGCTAGCTCAGTTCGTTCATGAACTGTTGAAATACAGACCCAAGTTCCAATCCAGATGCAATCACGTGCACAGAACAAAATAATTATGAATTACCTGGGGCAGGTCAGTTCAAATATGATATCGCGAGGCCGTTGCCCTCTTAAGGGGAAAAACGAAAGAAACAAAAAGGAACCCGTTGAGTGGAATTGCAATAACCCGTTCGGTATCCCTCGTAACCTGTCTAGGGGCCCCAGGCCCGACGACGACCAAGGCCGCCTCACGGAGAGGCAGGACCCCAAATGTTTGGATTCAGGGGCCCTGCGCCAGACAATTGACTGAAAGTCAACTGTCCACGACCCTCAGTCACAGTCACCGTGGACCCAGCCCAGGCCTCCGGTCAGACACACACACTTGTTTGTATGCTGGTACCAAGGCAGCATTCAGGCCAAGTGCAAGTCCGCAACTGTATGGGATCCAGGCCGTTGGCTGCGAGTCAATCTGAGCCATGGTGGGTGGTAAACCTGAGGCAGGTCTACCTGGTCAAATGCTACATAAGACCCTGCCTCCAGGAAGTCAACATTCAGTCTTGCTATGCTGCCTTGACACTGGCTTGATGCTAGTTGGACGCTGGCTGGACGCTGGCTCTACGCTGGCACTGTGGATGACGACGCAAGACTGCTGTCGCATGCTGGCGCCTTCCTGCTTCTGCGCCAGCCTCTGCTGACGTGGCGCAAGGCCACGCTGTCTTCGACACTGCTGACGTGGCATATGCCACTGTCTCCTATGCTGACGTGGCTTGTGCCGCACTGTCTTCATTGCTGAGTTGGACGCGACAAGGAGGGAGATCGGGATCTGTGGATGATTGAGAGAGAACGGGATGCTTACCTGATGTTGATGTCGATACTGTGCGCTGCTGAAGTCTTCACGGGAGAACTGTGCCACGTGGCACTTTTGATGGTGATCTGACCTGTCAGGCTCGTTATTGGACACTGTTCTGACGAGGAGGAGAGAGGGAAGCCCGGAGAAGGAGAGGGTATTGTTGGGCTACTACCTCTGTGGTCATTGATGAATATCTCTTCCACCTGTGCCACGTGGCACTTTTGATGTGATCTGACTTGTCAGGCTCGTTATTGGACACTGTTCTGACGAGGAGGAGAGAGGGAAGCCTGGAGAAGGAGAGGGTATTGTTGGGCTACTACCTCTGTGGTCATTGATGGATATCTCTTCCACCCTCTAATTTGTCTATTCCCCTCTCTCCTCTTTTCGTCCATTGGTTACCAGACATTGTATTACAGATCACATTCACGATTATTTGGAGACATTATTCAGAACTGAGATCTCTCGTATTTCGACATCTGATGAGTATCTTCCAGACTGGGTTCATTACAGAATACAGTATTATTGTTCTAATGTAAAAGCTCGAGCCATTATGTAAGTGGGGGTGGTATTTGATTCCAGAGATGATCATCGATCACGTTCTTTGGGAAAAAATTGAAGGCATGCACTACGATGTTTTTTCTTGGGGACAAGGGAAAAAGAAGGGAACGCAAGTGGTCACAGCTGAAATCTCCTCCTCTTCCTTGTCCTCATCCTCTTGTTCGTCCCATGCTCTTTCCCAAACCTTGTTTATTTTACTTTGCTTGTTTGGCTGAATCTCTTGCTTCCTTTTGTCCGTGGCAGGTGCGTTATTTGACTGTGCTGGCCATCGATGAGCTGTTCATGAGGTCAAAGCTCTTCCGTTCCCTGCTGACAACTGTCTTCGAGTCGTATCTTCTCTTGACGATTGGGTACCGGTCGGAGCAGCCTTTGCCACCGCCGGAGTCAGCTGCGGATGCGCTGCGCAAGAAGAGTATTGAAATTCTTGAGAAATGGAATGATAAGTTTGGCACCAGCTACACCCAGGTGTGTGTTCGCTTCCTGACCAATGTTCTCGTCCGTGTCCTCACCCTCTCTGCTGCTGTGCACTGCATCATATGCTGCCTCCGTCCCTGTGATGTTATGTGTACATATCGCAGAGCTGAGGTTTGCATGGCATCGGGGAGGAGAATATTGATGGACCAGGATGAAGAAATGGAGGAAGAAGCAGGGTAGGGGGGAATATGAGGGAAAGATGTGGTGAGGCACGGTAAGAGAGGGAGGGCACAAGTGATCAGCGTCCTTTCATCATGCATGTTATGTTGTGCTTTGTCTTGGTATGCACCTTGACCATCACTCACGTATCTTTGTCTGTAAGATCTGCCCCCTGCATGGCCCTCTATTTTCTTCTTGCTTTCTACCGCCCACTACACATTTTTATAGCAAATGCACGGATGGTTCTTGGATATGTGCCAATACGTATGTATGTGGGTATGTGCCACGAGCACACACACATGCGAAGTGCAGCCACCTGTGCAGCATTTGCAGGACTGGTAGCCACTAGTAGAAGCGTGGCTGATCAGCTTCCGCTTCTTGCATGTGATGCAAGCCCCCCACTTCTAATCCACGTCGCGTCGAACGCTTCCCCACTCCAACTGACAACGATCCGCCCTCTGATCGTTTGACAGAACCCCCGTATGGAGTTGATCTCTCTCCGGAATACATGCTATAGAGCCTCAGGAGTTAATACAGCCAGAGGAGCCTCACAGAGACTGTCAAGACCGGAATGAACCTCCCCCTGCCGTGCAATCTGCAGAATCAAATGATCTCATAGTGCTACAGTGAGGCCGCTGTGTGTACCGTGCCATTAATGTGTGTCTCCTCGCTCATTTCGGTGCTGTTGCGTTTGCTGATAGCTCATGGACCCTGTGGGATAATGGCGGTAGGGTGCACTCTGTCGGATGTACTACCTCTTTCCATCACCATGTGTCAGAATCCCACTCACTCTGGGCGGTCAATCAGGAGCAGTATCTGGATGTGTACTGACAAGCTCTACAGCCTCCGGAGAACGATCTGGCCGACCCTCCCCCCTTCCCTGAACATGGCCAGGCAGTGTCCCTCGCCTGTGTAGATCGGACAGATTCTGCCGCGAATAGTGAGGCGGCCCCTCCGAGGATGGTGGCTGCACCTGCCATTTTGTCTCCACACAGGCACCAGTTCGTTTAGTATGCACACAAGCTCTACAGCCTCTGGAGAATGATCTGGCCGACCGTCGCCCCTTCCCTGAACATGGCCAGGCAGTGTCCCTCGCCTGTGTATATCGGACAGATTCTGCCGCGAATAGTGAGGTGGCCCCTCCGAGGACGGTGGCTGCACCTGCCATTTTGTCTCCACACAGGCACCAGTAGTTCGTTTAGTATGCACACAAGCTCTACAGCCTCCGGAGAACAATCTGGCCGACCCTCGCCCCTTCCCTGAACATGGCCAGGCAGCATCCCTCGCCTGTGTATATCGGACAGATTCTGCCACGAATAGTGAGTCGGCCCCTCTGAGGACGGTGGCTGCACCTGCCATTTTGTCTCCACACAGGCACCAGTTCGTTTAGTATGCACACAAGCTCTACAGCCTCCGGAGAATGATGTGGCCGACCCTCCCCCCTTCCCTGAACATGGCCAGGCAGTGTCCCTTGCCTGTGTAGATCGGACAGATTTTGCCGTGGATAGTGAGGCGGCCCCTCCGAGGACGGTGGCTGCACCTGCCATTTTGCCTCCACACAGGCACCAGTTCGTTTAGTATGCACACAATACCATCTCTGCTGCGAACACTGCGAAGGGATGGTCACTGCCAGCCTCTGCCACGAAAGTTGTTGTCTTGTACTCGTCCCCCCCCACCCCTTATTGCATGGTGGATATGCCGTAGTGGCCTTGACATTCCATCCTTGAATAACTGCCAACGTCAGTCTGCTTCCCTTCTGGCATGTGAGCAACATGCCATGTGTCGTCAATGTTTCAAAGAAAGCTGTCACGGAAAGTATGTGTCTCTACTTGGTGGACTATCCTCGATGCCATCACCGGCCACAGCCTCTCCGTTCATGTCCCACATGCAGTGTTGGGCATACTCTCGCTGCTCCCATAAGCGGATCTCCTCCATCCTTGCCAAACGAGCAATAGATGCAGCAGCCTGAGGTCGAGAATAAACCCTCGCATAAACCACCTACAGCACACTGTACTGAAAGGTTATTGCCGCCAGGCGAGCTGTTGCACATCAGATCCTGCAACAGCTAAACACCCTTACTTTGGATCGAGCCCCATCATCGCCTGCCCATAGGGAGGGAATATTGGTCGCGGAAACCCAACAAACTTGCTCGATGCTGCACTGTGATGGCCCACCTGAGATTCGGCTAGCATGTGATAGGCATGCTTTGTGCCATGAGGATTATGAAGGCATAACCCATGATGCTTCCACAGTCCACACCCGGACCGGTCCTGCTCTGTCCATAGGGGTGGCCACTTACCATAAGCAACGGCTGCTGCTCAATGCAAAATTCCCTGCAACCCGAACACTGACTGGCCTCTTGTGCCATTCTAGAGTAGTCTGCTCCAGTGGTGAGTATTGGGAACCCTGCGAAGTTTTTTTCCTTTCGTTTTTTTGTCTTTCCTCAGTTCTGTTCTGTGGCCCTCCTCTGACCCTACTTCCTCCTCTTCTCCTCCTCTTCCCCTCCTCTTCGCCTTTTCCCTCCCCCCCACCTCTCCTCCACCCGCTACCCCTTTCCTTCCTTCCTCCCCCCTTCTGTGTACTACGAATGGATGCATGTGAATGAGCATCATTAAGAGAATGGACAAAACATATGCTGAAGATCTGAGGGAAAAATGGACAGGAATATACCTCCCCCTCCCTTCATAGCGTGCAAGTGGGCCTTTATGGCACATCGGGGTGTGGGCAGCTCATGCTCAACCACAGTGAACATGGTGAGCCTTATACGTGAGAGGCACAGCAAAAGGGGAGCTGCAAAAACAAATAAAAACGGGTACCCCAAAGAAAGCCGAAACCCAGATACTCAAGAAAGGGATATAGCGGATCTGTTGAGCTTACATGTTGCTTGCCATAGAGGTAAAACGTTTCATTGTTGGATTGGCTAATCTTCAGTGTGCTTCATTGTCTGCAATAGAGGTCAGGCTGAACAGGGGCTGTTGTGGTGAGTAACTACAACACACACACACACACACACACACACACACACACACACACACACACACACACACACAGAGAGAGAGAGAGAGAGAGAGAGAGAGAGAGAGAGAGAGAGAGAGAGAGAGAGAGAGAGAGAGAGAGAGAGAGAGAGAGAGACGGATGTACTGATGCGGCTGGTGGTTGCTGGGCAGATCAGGCTGGGCTATCGGTACTTGAAGGACACATTGCGGATGCAGTTCCCGAATGTGAGAGAAAGAGAGGCTGTAGCAGAGCAGGAGAGGAGGGAGAGGGAGGAAAGGACTCGTCAGCTGTTAGTATCCAAGTATGAGAGCCTGAAGGCAGATTTCCCTGAGCAGGAAACTCAGTTCGTCTCCACAATGAAAGAAATCGATGAAGCTGTGGCCATCCTTGTGGCACCATTGGCGGTAGGGCCAGCAGATCTTGCTGCTGTGCATACTGTGAAGAAGGGTGGGTGTGCCAATCACGAAGCCGGAGTGGAGTTATATGAAATGGAAATGGAGGCAGAAGGGTTTTGGTGCAATGATCCAGGTGCAGTCAAGGATGGAACTGATGAAAGCAGAAGATTACGACATCAACATATGGAAATCAGTATGGTGAGTATTACAATCTGATTGTTCTTCCCTTCGTAAGTTCATATCAGCAATCACCACAAGTTATCGGTCAGGGACTCACGGTCACATTAATTTCTCCTGTTCTGGTCCTGGTAAATGGATGTGCATGCAGATAACCATCATTATGGTGAACGTGGATGTATACTTCCGATTACTTTGAGGTCCAAGTGCCCAACCCGCCTTCTCCTCGCTCTTATTCTCCCCACTACAGACTATCAACTACAAACTTCAATTTGCTGCGATGGGGGTATGGAGTTCCGAGTTCGCAACGCACTTTGGCCTCAGTCTTCTTCTTCTTCTTCTTCTTCTTCTTCTTTGTCGTCTTCGTCTCCTCCTCCTCCTCTTCCGACTTCAAGTTCTGCTGCATTGGGAAGGAGAGGTGTAGTAGGGTCGATTGGATGGGGCAGGGGCGGGTCAGTGGGATGGGACAGATTGGATAGGTTGCATGGGCTGGATGGGATGTGTATGGTCGAGATGGGTAAGATGGGATAAGATGGGATGTGTTGGTATGGGCTTCAAGTTCTGCGGCATTTGGTAGGAGAGGTGTAGTAGGATCGATTGGATGGGGCGGAAGCGGGTCAGTGGAATGGGACAGATTGGATAGGTTGCATGGGCTGGATGGGATGTGTATGGTCGNAGGTGTAGTAGGATCGATTGGATGGGGCGGAAGCGGGTCAGTGGAATGGGACAGATTGGATAGGTTGCATGGGCTGGATGGGATGTGTATGGTCGGGCTGGGGTAAGATGGGATAAGATGGGATGGGTTGGATGGGTTGGATGGGCCAGGTGAAGTCGTGGATGGAACATAGACTAGATACGTTGGATGGGATCGGATGGGATAGGTGAACTGGGATCGGTTCGATGGATGGAAGGAATGGGATGGGTTGGATGGGACTGATTGGATAGGTTGGATGGGATCAATAGAATTGGAGAATGGATGGACGAAAGAGTAGACTGGATTGAATGGAACGGCAAAGTTGTGTGAAGGTGGCAGAGCATGGGATGGATGGTAAAGTTGTGTGGAGGTGGTTAGATGGGGTAGATGGGTTGGGATGGGTTGGATGGGATGGATGAGATGGACGGAATGGGAGGGGATGGGAGGGAGTGGGTTGGATGGGACGGGCTGGATGGGTTTGATTTAGAAAGAATGGGATGCGCAATTGGATGGAATGTGATTGAGAAAATGAGTGGGGAATGTGGGGATGGTATAGGATGGTATGTGGTATGGGATGGATGGCAGCGAGCTAAATGTAGATGAGGCGTATGATGCATGGCTAAAAATGGTGCCTGTCTGGATTACCAAACAAATACCAGCAAGAGATCCAAAATCCCACCAGTAGCTTAGATGGCAAGGATTTGGATAATGCATGGGTCCTGGGGACCATCTCACGCAAGTGTGTACATGCCATGCATCGTACTCCCACACACAATGAACAGTAGTCTGACAATAGACAAAGATAGAGAAGATGAGGACCGAGTTTCACAGTTTATATTATCAGAAATATGAATACAAAATGTTTCAAAGTTCCCCTGAGTCCAGCGCTCATCAGCGCAACACCAATATCTTGCCAACTCATCAATATGCCTTCCAGTGAATCAGTGCTACCCCTGCAGATA